TTCCAAACGAACTTCCTGGAAAACAAAAAAGGTCAAAACATCCTGGGAAACATGTCGTTGCGGGAAACGAGAATCCAAAAAGCGACGAGTTCTATCATGCATAATCAAGTCCAAAGGAATTTTTCAGATATTGCGGAGCCGCTCTCCCCGCATCACCATTTCCATTGTCGTTTCTGCACAAAACCCTGAATCCAATTGAAAGAAGTGATATTTTACGAACTCGGAGGAGCGTCTCGTTACGGCGATCGTGCCACTTCGTTTCCGTGTCTCATACTTCAGGCCTTTTTTCCGCTTTATCATCGAGCAATCCTTCCGCATATTAGGTTCTTCCCTTCGGCCTTCATTTATCTTTATCGCTGAGTAGAAAAAATTACTTACACGGGTAATGATAGTACTATTCACATTTTAATCAACGATTTTCTAAAATAGACCGAGTGAGTCACAGCTTGTGACCGATCATGACCTTCTGCTATTTATCACTACTAGACCGCACGCACGTGCTGATCTATCACCTCATTGACTTCCGAGAAGTTTCTCTTTCTTCATTCTAATTTCAAATGTACTTTTCATACATTCATAGCTGAGCTATAAAAATGAATGATACGTAGAAAAAAAACTTAATCAATGATAAAGATGAATAAGTGAAAAATTGAGGAAGGATTTCGAACCTTTTATCAATTCCCTTCACTTTTCAAACTGATCCGTAATTGTTGAGAAGGACGGGAAGTGTTGCGAGTCAATGTTACTGCAAACTGAATAATTTTCTTAATTTTTCTCGAATGAAAAAAATTGATATTTTCCTGGAATTTTCTACTAAACCGGGGATTATTAGAATTTAAAAATTTGATTCATCTTAACCGAATATTACTACTTACGTACCGATATTACTACACAATGTATTATAATCATTCTACTCATTTCACTTCTCCCATTACAAACATGAGAAAACTGACAATTATAACGAAAAGAAGAATTTATCAGTTCGAAGGAATTAAAAATAAAGCGTGTTTTTAGCGACAAACTTCACGCAGCCTTCTCCTTCAGAGATAAGACCCCAATTAGTCCTACAGCCTAATTTTACGTGATCTCTGCTACTTTTTCCCCACCTTTAGCCTCAGCGTTTCCCGAATAATCCGCAGACAATTATTATTTCTCCTAATGTTTCCCTTTCAGCCCTCATACGTCCCACCGCACAACCAAAAGCAACTTACACCGAGTCACTGGTCGAGTGAGCCACACCGCACGTCTCTCCACTTACACACGCAGTTTGCTGTGTAAATTTTCCTTCTGTCTCGCTTACCTCCCCGACAACCCCAACATTTTCAATCCCAGAGGATAAAACCAAAAAAAATATACCTTGTGCTTCTGTTGTTTAGGTACCCCCCAGTGGCTGTTGCGCGCGCACACCACTTGTGCACTCTCCCCCCTCCCCCTTCCCTCCTCGATACGAGAACCATACGTCCGAACGGAGAGTAGCGCGATCGTCGACGCCTCCAGTCAGCCTCCAACGAGCCCGAGCTTTTCACCCTGTTTCATACTGCGAGTCGGGTACCGAGAGTCCACGTCCCGTTTCTCCCGGTGTTACTGGGAACAAGTTTCAACGAACATAAATCGTCATTGAACGAGTTTCCCATGCGTTTTGTGTTGATTATTGTAATCCCAGTAAAAACAGAGGGACAAATTGTTCCCTCGAACTGCTGATTTTTTTCTCTCCAATGCAAGTAACTTGAAACAACGTTTGTACGAATTCAAACAGTAAACACTGAGAATTTCAATCAAGCGTGACAAGGTGCCATCAGAAAAATACCGTACAAACATAAACATTTCATTGTACTTCGCCGGCTAGTACATGACGACCTGAATTTCAGTGAAAACAAACATTTCTCCTCTCTCTCTGTCTCCTTCCTACCTTCACCCGTCAGTTGTCCTGCATTCGCAGTCTCCCAGCGATCTAAAAACCCCTCACAACTGATCTCTAAATACCAATTTTCTCTTCCACCAGTTTTCCCAAAGTATGCACACAATGAAAAACACATTCCCACGTGTCGTGTAAATATGCGAATTGTATACATGCAGTTTATCGTGACTTGAGGTGAACCACGTCGCGCCGGAAACGAGTTGAGTGCACTTTGGGCACGCAAGCTAAACGACACTGGGGTTTAATCGGCGATTACAATAACTGAAATACCCCAGTGGAGAAAAACCAAATCCCTGAAACGAAAATTCAGCAAAAGTGAAGGACGTGTTTTGTCGAGGCTTTCCACGGGCATTTGTCTCTTACCCCGAGGAATCGAGGAAATAACGTTTGACAGTGGAAGGAATCTTTGGTGAAGTAGTTGGACAGTACGTGCGGCGTGCCGTACTCTCGTCGTCGTCGTGCGATGCTCGAGCCTGAAGAGAGTCGGAAGTGCCGAGAGCCTGCACGTTCCAAGAGGTAGCACGAAATATTGCGCGTCATCGGGTGCTGTGTACTCTCGTTGTCTACGTCCACGACGACGACGACGACGAAGAGTCAATCGAGGATTGCTGAAATCTTGTGCAAATAGAAAGAGAAAAAAAACGGAAAAAGTGTGACGCACGTGAATGATAAATTAGATGCACGAACGAGTCAAGTCCTCGAGAGAATAGAGCCACTTGGTGACTGGTGAATTGTGAGTAGGAAGTGGCGAGACTATTGTCGTCATCGGTGAGGAATATCGAGTGGTTGTGTCACGTACGAGTCGTCAATCTTCGGTGAATATTGGAGATAAAAAAAAAGGAGGAAAGACGACCGATAATCCGATGATCCGACGACGCTGGTGAACGTCCGCGGCTTTTGCGAGGGGTCAGAGGGATAAAATATAAGCAGGGAAGAGGAGACCAGTGAAAGTGTAAATAGGTGTACATAAACCGGAGAACTACCCACATGCACTAAATAGAGAAAGAGTAGTTACACGGATTTGTTACGAGAATTCGTTAGGGGCGAGGAGACGATATATAACCCGGTGACTTGCGGGGAATAACAAAGAGCCAACGTGCGGGGCCCACCTCTCGCATCCCTTCCGTCTCACTCCCTGTGTCTCCGGCAAGCTCCTGTTTCATTTTGCCCCTCGTAACATTAAGTGAATTATTCATCAGATTATTCGATAGAATAAAATCGCAATAGACTTATTTACTTAGATATTAGGTGTAAACGAGAGCAGGCTTAGGAGTAATCTCCTTGGTGGAGTCGAAAAAAAAACACACATAATAATTAATACTTAATTTCTAAGGGGGACAACTTCCAAAAGTTGAAGTCTAAGATTTTAATTGATAATAACGATTTAACGTAAAGGAGTAACGAAAAATTCACAATTTCAACGTCATTGTTTTATCCTCGTTGTTAAATCGTTGTAGTTTTTTGAAAAGCAGGTCGGAGCAGTACGGGTAAAAAATAATAGCCTTTTTTCAAAAGAAAAAGCCTCAGCGATAATTCACTAATGCTCGCGTGGCGTTATTAGTACGGCACTCAATCGATTATACAGAGAGAGTAAATCAGAGTAGACAAGAAAAAAGCAAATTCTATTTAATCTAGAATATTATCCTGAGGATCATAGTTAAAGTAGTGATAAATAATAAGGTTGAGAGTAAAGTGTCTTGAGGTGAAGGAATGTCAAGGAGTTTGGTGTCAGGGTGTGAGTGACGAGAGAAGCGGAAAGTGTCGGAGGAAAATATCGAGTTGAGAGTAGAGGAAATAAGAAGTCTCTCCTTGAAATAAGTGAGAGTTACGCTAAAATTACATAAAGCGGTTGAAGGATCAAAAGGTCTTCTTGATTAAAAATTTTTCTTCCTCTTGAATTCGTTTCTCACCCTATCTTCGCCGTAATAAATTCCTCGAAATCAATTTACCACACCTCCCTCACTCTCTCGTTCCTTTTACAATTATTTTATAAGAAAATAAAGGGCTTAAAAACGTGAGTGGAACGCGAGCAACGGGACCAATTTATTCGGGCTTTCTCATTCACGTGGCACATGCATTATTGTTCTGTGAATGATTAACTGTTTTTTTTTCTCGCATCTCTTGAGAAACGGAAGCAGAAAAATCTGCTGAGGCGGTTAAAACAAAGGGAAGAGAGAGAGAGTTTTCGAGCCACAGTAAAAGAAGAATAGGATAAATAGTTAAATGTAATGGGCATCGTGGTATATCCATTTGTCTCTACATTCATTTCCCCTCTTTAATCACTTCTCCCACCTAGTTCCGTGTAATATTCACCCTCTTGGCCCGTTCCGCAACGCACAACACGGGCAATAAATCAAGTAGACGAAGAGAAAACGGAAGTGGAAGAGTGTACAGTGAAAGGAGTGATGACGGTGAAGTACAACTGAGAGGATATTATTGCTCCCTGGCTACTGAAGATTTAAAAACAAAAAACGAAGGAGATACACATTAACAAGGGGATTCACCAGGAATATACAGAACCCACTATATCCGTCGTGCGATCAATAAAGGAGGGTTTGAGGGTTTCATAAATAGGATGACCAGTTGAATAAAGCTCCCCTCGTGACACAATCCACGTGACAAACGTAAACGTAAGCATAAGAATAATAAATTACCGAAGGCAATAAAGGCTGGGGCTGTGTCATAACAAATAAATAACTAATACGTCAAAGCAAAAGAAGAGCAAAGTAAACAAAAGAAACCGAGAAGCAGGCAATGAGGCCATCTTGAAGCGGGCATGTCGGCCCTGGCCTCCCCGAAATGCGACGAGAGGAATTCAAGCGTGCACGAGAAGGCTGGCAGGATCGTTGTAAAGTGCCACAAGGGCCACAGTCCAATCTCATCAAATCGTCATCACGCCGTATTAATTTCCTCTATTTCGCTCCAACGTGCATTAGCACTGATGCTGCTGCTATTGCTTGGCACGTGTGTGGCGCATCGACCGTTGCGTCAGCCACAGTACAAAAAAAAGGAGTACGAAGTAACGACATTAAAAGGTGTAACAATGGTGCGATAGCACGAGCTAGAGTCGAAGGTGCGAGTCATGCCGGGCTTGGACATGAGCAGCGTCAATAACGCCGGTAGTCTGGCGTCGACGAGCATCTTCGAGGAGAACATGAGCACTCTGGTCGACTGGTCACCCTCAGCCAACATCACCAGCAGTCTTACTGTCCCATCATCAACCCCACTCCCATCATCGTCATCATCGTCGCCATCGCCGTCACCATCGTCAGTCAATGTTACTGGAACAACTGAATTGAATATTGACCAGCATGAGACTGTTGGTGGTAGAGGTGGTCGTCTGACAACAACCAATTGCCCAAGTAGTCTATATCACTGTAACGAGGACCAAGTCACTGATTCATTGATTGAGAATCAGGAGGACAGTGAGCAGGGAGAGGACGAGGGTTACGCATCGGGTGACGAGAGTGGTAACATTGACGACGACATCTTCATCGAGGTGTCGTCAATAGGTGGTAACGAGGAGGAATTGAGATACGTATCAGCGGGAACTGATATTGGCGAAGATCCTGCTATTCTGTTCGGCTTTGACGACGATTTTAGCACGATGGAGGAGCTGCTGATCAATGCCAGCGTCTTAAATAGAACTGACAATATCACGGATAACAATGATACGTATATTGTTAGTGATGACAGCCTGTTTCCCTCTGGCTATAGTTTGCTACAAATAATACTAGCATCCATAGCGGCAACGATTCTCATGATTGCTGTTATTGTTGGTAATGTGCTTGTTATAATAGCCATTGCCACTGAAAAAGCACTGAAAAACATTACATATTGGTTTATAGCTAGTCTAGCTGTTGCTGATTTTTGTCTCGGTCTTTTTATAATGCCCTTCTCACTGGCGAATGAGATCATGGGCTATTGGATATTTCCTTATTGGTGGTGTGACATACACTCTGCGATGGACGTGTTACTGTGTACCTCAAGCATAATGAATCTATGTCTTATAAGTTTGGACAGATATTGGAGTATAACGAAAGCAGTGGACTACCTCAGAAAGAGAACACCAGCTCGTGCTGTTACCATGATAGCACTCGTATGGTTGCTATCAGGTTTAGTGTGTATACCACCCTTACTTGGTTGGAAGAGGCCGAGAGTCGAGGAGGAGTATCCAAAGTGCATGGTAAGTCGATTCGTCTGTACCTCATGCACACTCACACAATACATTCACATCAATTTCTTTATAAGGCCAAAGCTGAGTGAAAAAAAAGCAAAACTCACCTTTCACCATAAGTGCTTCACCATTTACTTCAATATTCTATCGCATTACTTCGCTTTACCTTACAATGTGCGTACTCAGGCTGGCATTATTCCACTATTTCCACATCTCAGTGACTTTCCGCGTTTCTTTGCTCAACGGTATACACATGGCTAAAGGCGAGAGAGCTACTGGCTGCAATGAAAAATTCATCATAAATGCTCGTCTAGCTCTCTCCCTCATTTACTTACCAGACTCGGGAGAGGCATGTTAAAAGAGGCTAAAAAAAGATGGAATCGGGGTGGTGGGTGGGGATGGAGAATGAGAGAGAAGGAAGAGGTAAAGGCCCTCTTATCTCATCGTTTTCATTTCCGCAGCAGTGCAACGCCCGGTATTTTGTTCCTCCCTCCAAACAGTGGATTCCCATTAGTGGATTAGTGAATAAATTGAACGAGCACTTTGTCCGTTTAATTTTTATTCTCATTATATTTTTTCATTCCTGTCTACCCACAATCCCTCAACTCCACCGCATATGGGAGTATAGAGACAGTGTACGTGGTAACTAACCCCTACGACAAATTCTCTGGAGGCGTTTAATCCACACATCCACTGTGGGACAGCAGCCTAACTCAGATGTATCGCACCGTAAATGTTATCATAACGTGTACCACGCGTCTCTCGTTGTACGTGTCACTCTCCGATGATAAAAGGAAGGAAAAAAGAGGGCTGGAGAGAGAAAAAGATATATATTCTATATTACAGGAATGCGAAAAAATGACATGACACGTCACTGTCCCGTCACGTGACACGTCAGTGACTGGTATGAGGTCAGGGTTCGCTATTAATCTTTTGTTTTGCAGTATTATGAAAATTATTGATGACTAATGAGTGGTACATTGTCAATCGTAATTGAGGGATGTGGTTAACAAAGTAATTAGTAATTTCAATTGTTCAATCGGGACCTGACTCAGGAATGGCAAATTGATTTAAACTGATTGATGATTATAAAAGTAGGGAAAGGTATTCCTGAATTTGGTTACTGATTTTAAATGTAAGGGATTATTTATAATTTAATGTTATGAATTTGCATATTTCTATATGAGACGGACGGGAATATAGTGTATTCTTGTCATGTGACAAAATTACGACCAATTTACTATCTAATCGTTACATTCGATGTCACTAGTGGTAAAGAAACTTGGAATTCGGAGATACCGCATATAGCCCCGTAAATGCGAGATAATGAGGCGTTTAGGTCGTTGTCAAACACATATATTGAACGCATTCAAATTAAAATGAATAACGGAAACTACGAATTATTGCCGAATGCGAGAAAATTTTATAACAGAAACATTCGTGGTTATTCGTTTACACCCAGAAAAATGATTCGTTTGAATCAAATACAGTTTGTTTAAATACTACCAAATAATGTTTTTTTTTAATTCAATAAAAAATTTTATTCGAAGTTTTATTTATGTTAAATAAATGTTTTTTTACTATTGCTAAATAGTTATTTGATCCAATTAAGTTCTTCATTTGAATCAAATAAATTGTTTTTTCCAATTTGATAAAAATTTTATTTCAAATAAATAAATCATTTGTTTAATATAATTGAATCCTTTTTGTTGAAATGAGTAAAAAAATAAAAATAAAAAAGCATTTGTCTGGGTGTAGATTCCAATGAAATTGACGTTCTCGATCACATGTTTTCAAGTTAATAAAATTTCCTACCAACCTGCTATTATTGCTGCTAACCTGAATATGGCACAAAAAAATTGTACTAACTTGTCAGTTTACATGTAGCTGATTGTTTCGAAACAGCAGGGGAAAGTATGACCGAAATTCTGACATGAGAAAAATTTTCGTAACAAGACCATCACATGACGGTCATTTTTTCAAACCCGACGGATTTCAAAACGAAATGCCGGGTACATTAGTAGCATACGAGTTAGGGTACATTATTTTCTAGCTTACCGGGTCCCCCCTCTTGCGACGGTTTTGTGTGCGGCCTGCGGCGGTAGAACGACACACACCCTTGACCCATTTTAAACAGTCGACAGTTGTCGTTGTGGTTGTGTATGTAGAATACCGGGGAGTTGACCGGGGGACGTATCATTCGACTGGGTAAATCCACAACCGTCTACCCCATACTCATTCTCCCATTTACTCTATCCTCTTCCCACCACCTGTCTCACCAGGGCGTACTCTCGGTTCGTTTCGTACTCAGTTTCGTACATATACACCAACACTAACCCAATCCAACCGAGTATTTACTCGTTGCAGCGCATTGGGGAGGGGCGGATTGAGCCACAGGGAGGAATGAAATCATTTCGGTCGTTGAGACCCTCTGGGCTGTCAACGCTCGTTTCCTATGCCAACGGGGCCAATCCGTCCGATGAAAAAATGGAGTGTATCCTCGAAAAACTGAGCAAATTACTCAGTAGAGGTGAGCGCCCTCGTCTACAGATGGGCTGGTTTTTCCGGGTGAACTTTTCCTGGATTTATACGGGGAGATATTTTTGGAAACTACCCTTCCTGCAGCGATAGCCCACATGGGCTATCACTCATTTTTTCATTTTTCTACTAGGAGGGTTCATGAAAATTGGCTGTCGAAAGATGTAATTTATAATACAATGAGGAACTTGAGGTTAAATTTGAATAAATATCAAAGGATACACGGAAAAAATGTTTACAATAGAATATCTGGTACACTTTCTGGACATTTCTAACAAGGGACAGTGAAAACAGTTACATGCCAAGGAATTTCATCATTGAGGCATCACAATTTAATGAAAAAACGAGCGGAATCTGTAATTTTTAGAGTAGTCATTTCACAAAAATGAATAAAAATGAGGAAAATTCAGGTGAATATATTATTGAACTTTCAATAGATTGAAACTCCATGCTCAAAAAAATTGTAATTCTGGTGAATTTTCATTGACATTTAGAATTTCATGATTTTTCTTCTCTCAATCAAAATTATGTCCCTTTCCTGAACATTCCTACTATGAACAATGCATGAAATTTCAATGTGTTCCGAACATTGTATAAATAAAACTCTTTATGAGGAGGCGGCACTCTAGTTATCCAGTGAATTGTTACAAAAGTGTTGGGATAATTGCAGCGTTGTAAATTTAAATGCTGGTAATGACAAAATTAGGATTTCACAAACAGTCTAGCAGTAATTTTCAGAAGAGTGACATTAATTTTCATGTTACAGGTGAAAAGTCAAGTAAATTCATAATTTTGAAATGGAAACAGGACAGAAATTCGACAATTTACTCAGATTTTCATTTGACAAAGTATCGGTAATGAGAGAAACAAAATTGATAGAATAGTCACAACAATACCGGTAGGTCAGAGGACCCCCGAATTTATCGTTTTTCTTAACCATCGAATTGGGTGAGGAGTGACTGACTGGGGGAGTCCAGCGTACATTTTGTAATGATCACATGCTACTGTTCAAATATTGAATGCTCTAGTTTATTTTAAGCCCGTGTCCAACTAAGGCTAAACCATACGCATCAGTATCAAATTGAACTGAATTGAATCTTTCAGATTCACCTGAAAATTGATTTGCCTGAAAATTTCCCTAATTTGTGCTGATTTTCACTCGATAAGTGAACTGAAATTTGAATTGTACATTGATTTTCCCATGGACACAGATAAAAAGTTTTGATTTTTAAAGATATGTCACTGATGTTTAGGAATCTATCACAAATTATTGGTAATACTGGACGCTGACTAGAATCACCCCGATTATCAGTGATTTTTATCGCTGAAATTTGGTGATAATTTCCTGAAAATTAGAGATGGGTTCCTGAAAATCAATGACACTACTAGAGATGCAAAATGACCTTCATTTTTTAGATCCCGTCATATGACCAAAAAATAACGGCCTCGTGACGGTCATGACTCATTTCCAATTTGCGACAGTCCTAAATTTTAAAAATAGTTTCAACGATAGAGATGAAAAATGAGCGTGATTTTCGTTTCAAAATGCACATTAGGCTAACACGAAATTAATTCAAATAAAGATTGATGAAGGAAAACGAGATTGCATCTGTATAGATAAACAATTTCTGTTATCTTTTTTTGGAAAATTGTAACGGTCATAGAGGGAGAAGGGAATTTTAACAGCCGTCATAAATTGCGTTTTCAGGTGACGCATTTGCATCTCTAGATATTACTCTGAAAATTAGAGATGGGTCTCTGAAAATTAATTGCCCGAAATTTCAATGAAAATGTGAGTTGTCAAAAGTCTCAGAAACGTGGCACCAAAAGTTCTTGAAATTGTAAACTTTAGTATGAAATTACTATTCCGTCCAGCCAATTTTCCCCAGAATATTGCTATAATTTTTTTTTTTTTTTTATAAGCTCGGAATAGAGCGAAATATCATGTTCGACCGAGTGGTGAATGAAGAATAACATAAAGGATGGGAATAATTCCACCTAGCGTGTGTGAATTACGCCGAGAATTTTCTCACATTTCTACCCTTCTTCCCATTTCAATTCGTTATGCGCCAAATGTCGTCTCCGTATCTCTTGTTGATAAAAAAATAAAAAAACAAAATTCCCTGCGAGATTTTTACGATGCATCACATCCAAAAATCACAAGTGTACGTTTTTGTTTTATGATTCTCCTCTTCTCATGAGGGGATAAATCTTTACACCCATCCTCGCAGACCTCTCAACACGCTCCAACGATCTAAAACTGACAGTCTTACTTTACGATTCTGACTTATTCCTTCACATGTACGGATATAACACTGGCGCCATTCCACTTCACCCGTTGTGCTGGTCTTCCCCAGTGCTTCGTACTTATATTGCTTCACACTATAATTCTCATGGTTATTATATATTATTTCCCGTTTGCCTGGTCTTTCCTCTTCATCCCTTGTCTGTTCCTCGGCACATTGGATTTCCCGAGAATTTCTCACTTCAGTATTCTATACACAGAGAGAAAAGTTGTATAAAAATTGCCTGGAAAATCATGGCAAATGTTAGTGTACGAAAGGTAATCGTGGAGTGAAATGTAATTGAATGAAAAAATACCTGATTGTGGAGGGTATTTTACAATGCATTTGGTAAAAGAAACACGTCTGTGAATGCAAGAATTATCGTCCTAAACAATCAAATTTCTCTCACTGGTAGGGTTTTTTTCTTCCACCTGTCTG